AATTCCATTTATTTCTGCTTTAGTCTTTATTATATTCAAGGCCTCTTAACATACTTTTAAAAAGCTTTGTAAATAAGACTTACCTGCTATGTGCAGATTGTTATATAGAAGACATTTTAAGCCAGTTTTTCCCACATTTTTCCCTCAGTACACCACAGTACAAAAAAGCATTTCATGCTTTGACACAGTACAAAACAGACTTTCACACATAATAAAAAATCTACATAAAATGCTTACCTTTAATATATGTACTGCTCTTCTTTTAATCTAGTTCACTTTTTTTTTTTTTAAGATTTATTTATTCATTTGAAAGTCAGAGTTGCAGAGAGAGGGAAAAACAGAAGAAAGAGATCCATTTGCTGGTTCATTCCCCAGATGGACACAATGTTGACCACTAGGCCAGGCAGAAGCCAGGAGCTTCCTCCAAGTCTCCCTGCTTTCCCCAGGCCATTAGCAGGGAGCTGGATTGGAAATGGAGCAGCCAAAACAGTAACCATCTGCCTTACAGGCTGCTGGTGTCACAGGAGGCGGCTTTACCCACCAGGCTGGATCCCATTTCACTTTTTAATTTAAACAACTGTGAACATGGGGCTGGTGTCGTGGCTTAGCGGGTAAAGCCAGTTTGAGACCTGGCCGCTCCACTTTTGATCTAGCTCTCTGTTATGGCCTGGGTAAATAAATAGAAGATGGCCCAAGTGCTTGGGTCCTTGCACCCATGTGGGAAACCCAGAAGAAGCTCCTGGCTCCTGGCTTTGGATGGGCTGTTTCGGCCATTTGGGGAATGAACCAGTGGATGGAAGACCTCTCCTTCCCTGCCTCTGCCTCTCTGTAACTCTGTTTTTCAAATAAATAAATCTTTAAAAAAAATCTCTCATCATTTAAAGTCAATTTATTCACTTAGTTGATTTCAGAGGATTCACAGTTTTGAGAAACACCATTCTAACAGCATATTTAATGTCAGAAAGTTACACAACAGACACAGAAAACATTCTCTATTTTAAACGATCTGGACTTCTGGTTGTAGAGCAAGATAAAAGGTAAAGTAAGACATGAGTGAAAAATTAGAAGATTATACCACCTGATCTAGTTTCTAGCAGAATAATAAATTATAATAATAATAGCCGGCGCCGTGGCTCAATAGGCTAATCCTCCACCTTGCGGCGCCGGCACACCGGGTTCTAGTCCCGGTTGGGGCGCCGGATTCTGTCCCGGTTGCCCCTCTTCCAGGCCAGCTCTCTGCTATGGCCAGGGAGTGCAGTGGAGGATGGCCCAGGTGCTTGGGCCCTGCACCCCATGGGAGACCAGGAAAAGCACCTGGCTCCTGGCTCCTGCCAGGATCAGCGCGGTGCGCCGGCTGCAGCGGCGGCCATTGGAGGGTGAACCAGCGGCAAAAGGAAGACCTTTCTCTCTCTGTCTCTCTCTCTCACTGTCCACTCTGCCTGTCAAAAAAAAAAAAAAAAAAAAAAAAAAAAAAAATTATAATAATAAAACAATTATTAAAATAATAAAATAAAACATCCAATCTTTGCACATTTTCAAGGGCCTCTACTCCCAGCGACAAGCACAAACATCAAATCTGCAAAAAGAAATGTCCCTTCCATGCACATGAGCGTCACTTTAAAACAGACTTGACCCAAACACAACAGAAGTATTTGCATATGATATAAAAACATAAAAAATTATACCTGGAGAGCAGAGAAATGGTTTCATATAAGTGATTCTGCTATAGTTTCCTTTTTAAAAATGATTTACTTATTTGTCAGTCAGAGTTACAGACAGTGAAGGAGAGACATCTTCCATTCACTGTTTCACTCCTCTGCCACGGCTTTGTTAATGTATCCTTCCACAAATGTGTTTGTACTACTTAAAACAATGACATACTTTGCACAGGAAAACACAAAATAATTCCTGCACCTACTTGGAGTTCATTCTTAAATCTATTCAACCAGGTTATATGAAATATATAATGTAAATTAATAGACAAATTGGTAACATTAAAGTCTATAAAGGAAGAGAACTACTCTAGCCCTTCTCTTTAACATACCTGAACTGAGGAAAAATAAGCTTTTAAACAAGTCAGAAACTTATTAAGAGATCTTACATAGATCTTACTCAAAGGTGTGCAAGAAAAAAGGTTCACTAGCAGGAAGCAGAATCAAAAGCTCCGTTCGAACTTACAAGCAGTCCATACATATAGTAACCCCTCAAGGTCTTATGTGTTGTCAAAGGCTGCCCTCACCCACCACAGATATAACACAACCACATTACAACTTCCAGTTTATTATGTAACAGTAGAGTATCTCACTTTTAATGTTTGTCATCACCTGCTACTTCTCGCTACACTAAGTATTTCTATTTCTCTCCATCAAAGGGGCTCTGCAACTTCCAGTTTGTCCAAGTTATACAAAATAAGAATAAAAGTTTCTAAGTAAGGTATTTAATGTATTTTTATTTGAGCAAAGCATATTAACTTTATGAAACCTATCTTGACAACTTATAAGACCCTATTTACTCACTTGATGACCTTAGTAGTATTTAAAATGGTAACAACTCATTTACTCCTCCCAACAGCCCTATGAAGTGGCATTTTATTACCAGTGTAACTCTAACTGAAGCACAGGGAATGTGAAATAATACATCCAAGGCCAAAATACCAGAATGTGGCAAAGGATTATTTATATTCATTTTTTTTAAGGATTTATTTTACTTATTTGAAAGGCAGAGTTACAGAGAGACAGAGAAAGAGGCATCTTCCATCTGCTGGTTCACTCCCAAAACAGCCTCAACACTAGGGCTGGGCCAAGCCAAAGCCAGGAGTCAGGAGTCAGGAGCTTCATCTGAGTCTCCCAAGTGGGCACAGGGCCCAAGGACTTGGGCTATCTTCTACTGCTTTCCCAAGTACATTAGCAGGGAGCTGGTTCAGAAGTGGAGCAGTGGGACTCAAACCAGTGGCCACATGGAATGCCAGCATTTCAGGAGGCAGCTTAACCTAATGCTAGAACACTGACAACAGGATTATTTATATTCTAATCTTGGTAATCTGACACCTATGTTTGTACTCATATATGCCTATGGAGATATGCTATGCTACCTGATAACAACATAAACATATCAGTATGTCTAGTACTCTCTGCTTTAGTAATAAGCCTCTAGAAAAGAAGTTAGGAAAATTAATTAGGTGATACCTGGAACATCAGAACCCTCAACTATATACTTTTCCCTTTCCAAAGCTGCTCTAGTCATAACATTTTCAAAGATATAGCCTCATCCAGGATCATACTATATCTCTTATAATGACTCCAAACCCAAGAATATTCATTGCCATTGAAGATCTACTTGCCACAGTTTACAATTATTCCTTTTGAGATAGTCCTAAATGATCTTTGAATACCTATATAGTATTTGCATGTTGCAGACTTAACAAATTTAAGTTGCAGATTTAAACAAAGAATTCTTGTTATTGTGTTATTTGACTCAATTCATTAGCTATTTTCTTACTACAGCAGGCCTTCTCAACTTGTACTCATATATATGACATTACATATCTATTTACAAAGACATCTCATGTGCAAACTAATGATGACAAATTAAACCAGAGATGTAAGCCCTCCCATCTTCCACAATACCTTATTTATTCTTGAAAACCACAATTTTCTGGCACCATCAAACAAATGATATCCATTGTCAAAGCACCACTCATTTTAGGTATACAAGTAATATATAGAGTTCAATTATGAGAAATGTTGAAAAACACCAAAATTATTCTGAGATTATAAAAACCTTGCAGTATGTTAGAGTTAGAAGACTGTACATAGCAATAGAATTTAATTTTGTACTACACCCAAGTCAATGAATGAAGCACTGGGCTAAAGTGCTGACAATACATCATCTCATTTAGCCATCAGAACAACTCCTTCAGGCATATATATAATTACTATCATCATTATACAGATAAAGAAACTAAGACGTAAGGTCTCACACCAAGCTAATAAGAACAGAAATCAGAATTGATACTGATCACAGCTCTGAAACCTGTGATCCTAACTGCTCACAATGCTATCCTATATCTACTATGAAGCAACTCTGAATTTTCTGAAACACAGCTGCCTAATGTTGTGATAATATACCATATTTGATTTAAAATTTTATTATTTATTTATTTATTTATTTATTTTTTGACAGGCAGAGTAGACAGTGAGAGAGAGAGACAGAGAGAAAGGTCTTCCTTTTGCCGTTGGCTCACCCTCTAATGGCCGCCACAGCCGGCGCGCTGCAGCCGGCGCACCGCGCTGATCCGATGGCAGGAGCCAGGAGCCAGGTGCTTTTTCCTGGTTTCCCATGGGGTGCAGGGCCCAAGCACTTGGGCCATCCTCCACTGCACTCCCTGGCCACAGCAGAGAGCTGGCCTGGAAGAGGGGCAACCAGGACAGAATCCGGCGCCCCGACCGGGACTAGAACCCGGTGTGCTGGCGCCGCTAGGCGGAGGATTAGCCTAGTGAGCTGCGGCGCCGGCCAAAATTTTATTTTTTATTTGAGAAGCGGAAAGAAAGATGGAGACAGAGTCAACTCCCATCCACTGGTTCACTCTCCAAATGGGCTGTACTAAAGCTGGGAGTCAGAAACCTAATTCAGGCCTCACACATGAGTGGCCAGAACCCAGCTATTTGAGCCATCACCACTGCCTTCCAGGAAGAGTATTAGCAGGAAGCTGGAATCAGGAGCCAAGACTCAAACTCAGGTACTCCAATAGGAACACAGGCATCTTAACCATTAGGCCGAACAGCTGCTCCTCATATTTGTTTTTAACTCCATCATTTTGAGAAGGAAAATTATTTACCTTCATAAGCCACACACACACATCTTCCCACCTTAACTAATGATTAATATTGATTCATATGAGGTCACTAGCTCTCCCTTTCCTAAAAACTGCATTTGCCCCTCTACCACCATAAACAAACATTTTTCCAGACCAACAGTTGTGTTTTTTGTATAAAACTCACCACAGCTGTTAGTGGCAGCAGTCACTACCTTAGATGACTCTGGAGTATTGAAGACCTGGAACAATCTAATGCAAGTTCTTACGATTTATATAATAATATCCACCACACCAAATGTTGAATAAAACCACCTGGAAAAAAAACAAGAAAATCATGTAATTAAATACAATTAACTTTCTGCATGGAACAACTATTTGAGAAGATCAATTTTATGCTATTTTTGTTTCAAAAAGGCAAAGTCATTTTGCAGATTTTGTTTGTCAACAAGCTAAACTTCAAAACTGAAGGAACCGAACTATCTTCTGTTTTCCTCGACTCTCAGAGATGATCGGATAAGAGAACTTTATTAGATATTTTTTTTTTTTTTGACAGGCAGAGTTAGTGAGAGAGAGAGAGAGAGCCAGAGAGAAAGGTCTTCCTTCCATTGGTTCACCCTCCAAATGGCCACTACAGCCAGCACGCTGCACCGATCCGAAGCCAGGAGCCAGGTGCTTCCTCCTGGTCTCCCATGAGGGTGCAGGGCCCAAATGTCCGGATTACTGCAATAACCCACCTACCTAGTCTGTTTTGCTTCCCTTCCATTCATTCTCTACTTTGCTTCCACAATGACCCTTTTAATACAAGTAGCTGCTCAGGTATCCCCCTTCCCAAAACTTCTCAGTGACTACCCATGTCGTTTATGATCAAATCAACTTTTTAGCATGACTTGCAAAACTCTTTCTAACCTGGTTCCAAATCTTCTCCAGTCTTACTTCTTGTCACTACTGTCCTTATAGAGTCAAACTGAGTCCCCCCCCTCCCAGATTCTTGAACTCTCCATGTTTGTTTTCCGGTTTTATGTCTCAGCCAGCGCAGTTTCTCCCTTTTACCTACTCCCTCACAGCCTCCCAACTATCTTCACCTACCTAATTCCTATATAGTTTTTAGGTCCCTGTCATAGCTCTCTCTTCAAGAAGCCTTACCTAATCATTAGAGATTAGACTGGGTCTGTTCATCCTTCATAAACTTCTATTTTAGCTCTTATCATTCTTTAGTATAATGACTTCCTTAATTATCTGGTCTCCCTGAACTAACTACATGCTCATTAGAGAAGGTATCATATCTCCTTGATCATCACTGTATCCACAATACTCACTTGGCACACAGTGCCCGGGCATATACAAACACTTAAAAATGTTTTTAATTAAATGAACAACAAAAAAAAGAAAAACAAAACTTTGGAGCTAAAAATTGAGACAGGGGCCTGAATTGTGGCACAGCAGTTAAGTCTCTGCTTACAATCCAAATTAGAGTGCAGTTCAAGTTCTAGCTGCTTCACTTCTGACCCAATTTCCTGCTAAAGTGCCTAGGAAAGCAAATGATAATAGGCCCAAGTACTTGGCCCCCTGCTACTCACAGGTAGACCTGAATATAGTTTCAGGCTCTAGGCTTTGGTCTGGACCAAACCCAGGGCATGCAACCATTTGGGGAACAAGCAAATAGAAGATTTTCTTTCTCCCTCTTTGTTATTCTGCCTTTCAATTAGGAAGAAAAAAAAAATAACCTTAAGAATATATATTCAAAAGGACAAATCTGAATGGTTTTCTGACCATGAAAACCTCAAATAATCATATCCTCAAACAAATCTGTGAGACTTCTGGAGTCTTGTTATGATACAGAAAGCAGGAAAGACTATCATCCTTATCCTTTTAACAACAATAACAACAACAAACAAGATCAGATTATGTGCTAAATCACAAATCATTTTTTTAATTACTTATTTAAAAGGCAGAGTGAGAGACTGAAAGATAGGGAGAAAGAGATTTTCCATCTGTTGGTTCACTCCCCAGATGACTGCAATGGTCCAGGATGGGCCAGGCCAAAGCCAGGAGTGAGAAACTCTATCCATCCAGGTCTCCCACATGGGTACAGGGGTCCAAGTTCTTGGGTCATCTGCTTGCCTTCCCAGGCATATCAGCAGGGAACTGGATTGGAAGTAGAGAAGCCAGAACTGGAATTGGTGCTCTGTAAGGGATGTGGCATGGCAGGCAACAGTTGAACCTACAGCACCACAAAGCTGGCTCACAAATCTTAGAGCAGAGGTAACCTTACTTCCATGTTGGGTTTAAGAAAATTTGTGATTTTGTATGTTACAAAACAACTGACCCAAAATCTAAGGAAAGACATGCTCCTCAAAGAAGAGATGGAATATAATCACTTCCTTTCTGCAGTAAACACTATATAACAGCAATATAAGCCAGTAAGAACTGAGTTGGAATGTTTTTTAAATTACTAAAGGCCAAATGTGACTTACCAAGAGGACATAGAATCCTTGGTAGTTATAGAAACAAGAGGAATTCCCACCTACTCACAGATCTGATCCACAGACCACTCTAGAGGCTCAAAAGGAAGACTAGGGCAAAGTGAAACGCAGAGAAAATCTCCTTCACAGAAGGGAACAGCAGCCTTGTGGTAAAGGTACTAAGCTCCACCTGGATTTTTCTGTCCAACTTTCAGACTAGAAAGAAGACTTAAATGGCTTTGGAAAAGGAAACAAATGTTGTACCCAAAGGATAAAGGCAAAGATCTACTGAAGCTAAGGTGAGGAAACTAAACAAACAAAAGGAGCCTGCATTGTGGCACAGTGGGTTAAGCAGCTGCATGTGACATCAGCATTCCACATGAGCACAGCTAAGTCCCCACTTCTCTACTTCCAGTCCAGCTCCCTGCTAATCTGCCTGGCAAGCAGCCAAAGATAGTCCAAGTGCTTAGGCCCCTGTGACTCCATGTAGGAAACCTAGATGGACTTCCAAGCTCCTAGCTTCAGCCCACCCCAGCCCCAGCCATCCTGGCCATTTGGGATGGGAGATATTCATATTCATTCTCTCTCTCTCTCCCTCCCTTGTAAACAAATAAAATAAACCTTTTAAAAACATTACTGCTAGGGGCCTGCATTGTAGCAGGTTAAGCCACTGCCTAAGTGCAGGCATCCCATATGGGTGCAGATTTGAGTCCTGGCTGCTCCTCTTCCAATCAGCTTCCTGTTAATGTGCCTGGGAAAGCAGCAACAGGTGGCCCAAGTCTTTGGGTCCCTGAATGCACATGGGAGACCCAGATGAAGCTCCCGCCTCCAGCCTGGCTCAGCCCTGGCTGTTGTAGCCATTTGGGGGAGTGAATCAGCAGATGGAAAATCAATCTCTCTCTCTCTCTCTCTCTCTCTCTCTCTCACCCTGCCTTTCAAATAAACAAAATGAATGTTAAAAAATTAAATCTTGAAATTTTTTGGAAGAAAAAAAAAACTAAAGAATGCCTCCACAATTAGGCTAGCAAGTATCAAGTAAAAACAGCCTTCTACTATGTGAGAGAAAAACTAAAGCATGGAGAAATACTCTCGTTGAGAAACAATTCAAAAGAAAAACCTAAAGCTGAGAGAAGAGCAGACATTAAGAAAAACAGTCTGGCAAACCAAACCCTACCCTAAATACAGGTACCACTAGAGAAACATGAAGTCAATGGTAAACTGATGGTAACCTAGCAATAACAAAATACTCCAAATCCCTCCCCACTACACATATCTAGAAAAAGACAAAGCATGACCTTTTCCAGGCATAAAATACAATTTTATCTACGCAAAATATCTAGATTTGAACCAAAAGGTGTAAAAAAGGAACAAAGGAAAAAACTAAACAAAACATAAAATCATATTGTCAAGAGACAAAGCATTCAAAAGAACCAGACTCAGGTATGACCTTTGTGTGGGAACTATCAGACATGGAATTTAAAATAATTGCAATTAATATATTAAAAGCTAAAGGAAAATGTGGAAAACATGCACTAACAGACAGATATATTAAGAGGAGTAAGCTATAAGAAGAATCATATGGAAATACCAGAAATAAAAATATGATAACAAAGATGAAAGCCTTCAGTAATTTTATCAGTAGACTAGCACAACCATGGACAGAATCAGTAGACAGATCAGAAATTACTCAAACTGAAACATACAAGAGCAAAGAGGATGAAAAAAGAAAATCTATGGGACAATATCAAATATTCTTTTATTTACTTTTTTTTTTTTTTTAACAGGCAGAGTGGACAGTGAGAGACAGACAGAGAGACATAGAGAAAGGTCTTCCTTTTTCCATTGGTTCACCCTCCTAGTGGCGCTACAGCCAGCGCGTTGTGGCCAGCGCACCATGCTGATCCGAAGCCAGGAGCCAGGTGCTTCTCCTGGTCTACCATGTAGGTGCAGGGCCCAAGCACTTGGGCCATCATCCACTGTACTCCCGGGCCATACCAGAGAGCTGCACTGGAAGAGCAACTGGGACTCCGACAGGGACTAGAACCACAGGCAGAGAATTAGCCTATTGAGCTGCGGTGCCGGCCAATTTATTTATATGCTATATATGCATATAAAGACAGAAACAATATTGAAAGAAATAATGACCAAAAAATACCAAAATTAATACAGTACATCAAACCACTGACCAAAAAGCTCAAAGAACATCAACCAACATCAAACAACAAAACCTCCATACATTATACTCAAATTGATGGGAAAAAAATCAAAGGGAAACTTCAAAGGTAGCCATAGTTAAAATAAATCTTAAAAAAAAATCATATACAATGAAATAGGATATGGCCTTTCAGAAATTATGAAAGCTAAACATAATTAAAACGCTAAAAGAAAAAAATACCAACCCAGAATGCTCTATCTGTGAAAATATCTTTCAAAATTGAGGCAGGGGCTGGCATCGTGGTTCACTTGGTTAATCCTGCCCCTGTGGTGCTGGCATCCCATATGGGCATCGCTTCTAGTTCTGGTCACTCCTCTTCCAGTCCAGCTCTCTGCTGTGGCCCAGGAGGGCAATGGAGGATGGCCAAGTGCTTGGGCCCCTGCACCCGCATGGGAAATCAGGAGGAAGCACCTGGCTCCTGATTTTGGATCAGCGCAGCACCAGCCATCGCAGCCATTTGGGGAGTGACCCAACAGAAGGAAGACCTTTCTCTCTGTCTCTCTCACTCTCACTGTCTAACGCTATCTGTCAATTGAGGTAGCAATAAAAAAATTTCTGGAAAAACAAAATATAATTCACAATAGCAAAAAACTAGAAGAGACTAAATATTTAATCATCTCAATAGAAGCACCAAG